ACACAGGAGCAAAGAATTTTCAGTAACTACCAGAGGCTCACCCCAATGACAGCAACTGGTGCCCCCACTCACCTGCTCCACCATCTCGCTGCAGCTGATGCTCACCATGTTCCGACACCTGCCATGTTCCGCACGTGCCCCCTGGTGGTTGGCACACGTCATAGTGACTGGTTGTTTGGTTGTTCCACCATTCAGTCTATTTGCATATTAGGGTTTTATATATATATACTAGTAGCCTGGTGCACAAAATTTGTGCATGGGCAGGGGGGGAGGTCCCTCAGCCCAACCTGTGCCCTCACACAGTCTGGGACCCCTCGGGAGATAACCACCTGCTGGCTTAGGCCCGCTCCCCTGGTGGCAGATGGCACACCCAATCCCACGGTGTCTGCCCTGTCTCCCCCAGTCACAGATGGCAGGCCAGGATCCCAAGCTGGGGCAGGCGGCAGCTCGGGATCGTCTGAGGTCCCTGTGGATGTTCAGGCTCTGAAAGCGTAGTGTTTCTTTCTTGATTTTGTTTTTACTTCTTGAAATTGAAATGTGTTAAAATATGTATATATATATTTTTTTTCTGCACCTATTCGGGTCCCAGGGACCCCGCCACACACCAGCTGTCCTTTCCCAGCTCGGTGCTCCTCCAAGCTTTTCACGGAGGGGCAACCTTTTAGGTTGCGGGGTGCGTTGAGAGAAGCCTGTCTTTCTGAAAGCGGGTGTTTGATTTGGGGATTTGTGGTCTGGCTGAGGAGACCCCAGGGCCCACTCAGAACAGTGGGGGCAGTCACAGTGAGTGACCAAAGAAACCAGAGAAAAGTTAGGAGACAATAAACGGTTCAATTTCTAACTCCGCACGTTGCAGGAGCTGAGGTGGGCCCTGGATTTTCCAGGGACAGAGTGAGCGAGTTGCATGTGTGTCCACTGCCCCTCACACAGCCGGCCACTTGGAGTGTGACTTTCACCAGCAAGGGCATGGACGCAGCCACCTGGGCCTTGTTCCCGCCTTTGCAGATGCATGTGTGTGTGTGTGGAGAGGGGAGAGGCAATTAGGACCAGGAGGCAGGTGCGTGCTCTGGGGGTCACGAGGTCAGAGAGGCCTAGGTGCACCGGACACGCAGGGGCCGCCACCCAGCTGTTGGGGCAAGCAGGGAGCCACGGTGGCCACCTGCCCCCGGGGTAGCTGGGAGCTGGCGCTGCTCCATGGCACTCTGCTTTTCCCACCCCTGGAGGCTCTGTTTGTCAAACTTGGCTGCCTTGGCAGGAGGCACCTGACTGCATGTTCTCACCGGGAGAATTGTTCCCTTTGCAGCCCTTGGATCTAGGCTCAGGAACCTTAGCCTCACAGAATGATGGGGAGTGGGGGTAGGGGGTGGGGGGTGTGTGTGTGCAAAGAAAAGGGGTCTGGGACCCATCAGTGTCTGCGTTTTACCTGTGAATCCCGCCAGGCCTTCCACCTTCCAGGGCAGGAGAGAGGAGGCCACTGGTGCTCCCCATGCATTTGGGGCGTGGTGCCCAGTTACTTGCCTCTCAGTGCGAGCAGGACTCCGGCCTGGCTTGGGTTCAGTCACCACATGTCTCCAGAGGGCCCCTTGGCCACCGTCTCGGCGCAGAGAGTGAAGGCGCCTTCCCTGGGCCTGAAAAACCCACCCGAACCTGGTGTCCCCACCTTTGTGCGAAACTTCACAGGTTGGGGTGGTCCTTGCTTGCCTGGTTGCCGATCCCGGGCAGGGGCGGCCAGGGAAGAGGCTCGCACCTGCGCCCGCCTCTTTCCTGCCCCCCTCCGGCTTCTCCGATCACTGGCTGGGGGCGGGCAAAGGCGGTCCAGGTTCTCCAATCCAGGGCCGCCTTTGCCCTGCCCCCCGGCTCTTGCCTGCAGCCTGGGTTTCTGATCACCATCACCATCCTTCCCCTTTCGCCTCCCATCATTGTGCCTACGGATGCAAATTAACCGCCATCTTTGTTGGTGGTTAACCGCTATCCTTCTTGGCAGTTAATTTGCATATCACCCTGATTAGCCAATGGGAAGCGTAGCGGAGGTACGATTAATTACCCTTTTTGTCTTTTATTAGATAGGATATTAAAAGGGTAATATGCAAATAGATGGAACAGCAGAACAACTGAACAAACAATCAAAGCGTAATATGCTAATGATATGTTAAGGCTGCTATGACATGCACTGACGACCGGGGGGCAGACAGTCAATTGGTTGACCAGTTGTTATGATGTGCACTGACCACCAGGGGTCAGATGCTCTGACCGGTAGGTTCACTTGCTGCTGAGGTCTGGTTGATGGGGACTGAGCGAGATGGGCCAGACACGCCCTGAAACTCTCTTGGGGTCCCTCCAGGTCCCGATCATGCATCAGTGGGGTCCCTCAGCCTGGTCTGCACCCTCTTACAATCCAAGACCCCCTGGGGGATGTCAGAGAGCCAATTTCAGCTCGATCCCTCAAGCTACTCCCTTTGGGAAGGCGCCAGATGCAGGGCTCATGGCTGGCGAGTGCTGCTGCGGGGACTGATGGGGCGCGAGCCCGCCGCAGGCACAGTTTGGCCAGGATGAGCGGAAGCAGCAGGTAGGAGCTGCAGGCAGCATTGGATTGTGGGTTTTGGCCAGATCCCTGCAGGCCACCCAGGGGGACCCCACCCATGCATGAATTCGTGCACTGGGCCTCTAGTCTGAAATATAAAGCATGGGATACATGTATTAGAGCAACTATAAAATTAATGCCTTCTTTTAAATATTATCATTTGGAAAGTAACTTAGAGATTTTCTGAATTTTTCAGTTAAATACTTTGTCATTAATTATTGAATATCTGTCATGTAAGCCACCAGAATAAGTTTCATTATCATATGGCATGGGCTTTTCTGCTTTAAAAAATCAAAGTTTATTTTAGCAGTAAATGTTAGCTTACAACTTTCCGGCTTTACAGTAGATAGTAATAAAGTGTACTTGCTGCTTTAATCCCTGATTTGATAAACCAGGCTAGTACAGGTGTTCTGCTTCAGACTTTTATAAAGATGCCTAGTTATTTTTGGGGCAACATAATATTTCATCTTTACTAGAATACTCAGTTTGAGTGTAACCATAGGCTGCCCTAACCCTACTCCCAGAAATAAAGGGACATATAAATTAACTGCATATACTGTACAGCATACATATAAGGCACATTTAAGAGGAAATAACCATTTTGAACAAAATAAATAATGATATGTTCTTAATATGTTTTAGAAAAGTTAGGAAAAGCATTTTAAAAGTTTGGTTAGTTTGTCAAAAGTTAGGTCATGCAATTGTGATATGAAGAGCCATGGGTTAATCATGGTAGAGTTAGTAGCATAAAAATTAAAATCTCATTCATTTTAAAGATATACAGGTTATATATATACTAGAGGCCCAGTGCATTGTGCACTGGTGGGGTCCGGCTGGCCCACCCTGATCAGGGCCAATCAGGCGGGGCCGGCGGGGGGGGTGGGGAGGAGGGTCTGTGAGTGGTTGGCTGGCTGGCCCCGCCCCCTGGTCAAATTCCTGGCCGAACTCCCGATCAAGGTGACAATTTGGATATTAGCCTTTTATTATATAAGTGTTGTTGTTTTTTAAATATATATAAGATGTAAAAAATTTTAGGACCAAGTGAAAGGAAACTTTTCAACTTCATAAACATTTTAGTTTAAAATAAAGTCTTGTTTATGCTACCTTTGTCTAGTCTAATTTGCTGTGATTGTTGCACAGGAGTTGAATTAAATTGTAACAATGTAATGGTATTTTTATATTTATGGGCTCAAATGTATTCTTCCCCTTCTGTTGGGAGCCATTAGAAATCACATATACATCTCCAGTTTACAGCACAATAGGTTTCTGGCTCCTCCAAGCCAACTCCCGGTTTGGCCTGGAGTTAAAAGACAACCTTGCAGTTTAGCCTGGAGTTAAAAGATAACCTACCCTCACCCTAAGCACACAGCTGCTACATCTCAGCTGATAAGCTCACAGCTGCGACATTCCAGAGCTACATCCCTAGTGATAGGCTACCTCCTTGCCCACCCTCTCCCTCTAGAACAACATAAATTCTACCCGCTGTAAAAATAAAATTGAGGCTTGATCAGAACTTTGTCTTGCCTCCATTTCTTCGCGTCTCCTATCCTCTCATTCCTTTGCAGGATTTGGTGTGGAGTACCCACGATGCGTGCCCTGCAGGTCGGGGCACCCTTCAAATCCCAATTTCATAATCTTTTTGGATAACTACAAAAATTTGTTTTTGTAAACTGTATAAAATACGAGGTTTGTTAAAGGAATAAATAAACATTTTTCACCTTTGAATGATTCAAAAATAAAAGGAAATAAAAGATTGAATTTATTTATAATAGCTTGAATTTCATTTAATCTTCATTTTCCTTCAGGATTAAATGATCTTTAGCCTGCAAAGATTAATATTTAAAAGTTTGCATCCTTACTTGCATCTTAAAATTGATATTAGTAGCCCCTTCATCAGCTACTAGTGTATATAATACAGATATAATAGAATATAAAAGTATACCGCAAATGAACAATGAGATTTTCTCCTGCAATTACTAAAAAGACAATTACAATGAAGCCAATATTCATAGATAGATCTAAAATTGTTTCACTGCTTTCACAAGAATGAAATCCATCTTCTTTTGGTCATTGTCAATGTGTAAGAGCAGTCGATATGGTACACTGGCTTCACTATAATTAGAGACTTCATCACCTGAGGTAAATTTTCATTGGTAGTCCATCTCATCACATAACATTTATTGAGTATCTGATTTTGAGTCCCAAAGCCACTGTAATCAGAGATTATTATGGATCATATTTGGCATAGGTGAAAAATGAATGTAACTTCTCATGAACATTTAATAAGGCACTTTAAATGCATAACAGAGAAATGCTCTCTGATAATGAAGTTTTTTAAGCCCAGTAACTCTTGACTGTTCTTTGGATATAACTGAAAAACTATGTGCTTACTTGTAATTGTTATAGTAATGTGACTGTTTCATTAATGGCAATGATTAATGGTTGGATACCAATGAGCATGATTGCGTTTGCCTTCTCCAAAAGAAACTTGAGTGTTGTCATTCATTTTGAGATGGCTGGAAGCATTTACCATTCGAGATGGCATAGTGAAATTGTATCTATAAAAGCCAAAGGAAGGATGGAAAGAGCAATGAACTGTTTCCCTGGCAATGAGGTTTGGTGATGAAATGTTTCCAGGTGCCTGTAATCCATACAGTATTTGATTGGAAGAATTAGGTTCTGGTAAACACTGCCCATTGATCTCTGTAGATGAACTGTTTTTTGAATTGGCAACTTCCATCATGAGTGGGCTTAAAGACTGAGAACTGCTGCTGCTTGCTAGATTTTCAGCAGCAGTCAAGACAAGAGGCTGCCGTCGCCAACAATCAGTTGGACAAATTTTATAGCAAAGGGGAAAGTTGATACTGTGCAGGTACACCTCCGGACAGGCCATTCCAAGGGAACTTGTAGGTAAGTGAAATGTAGGCGGAGAACAAGGTGGAGAAAGCAAGGAGTTCAAAGGAGAGGGAGCCCCTCCACTAGAAGTCACTGGAGATGAGCCACTGCTTCCACCTGCGAATGACAATTCAGTCAATGAACTTGATGTCCCTACTGAATCACTAATCATGTCCATAGCTGTCCTTGCTTCATTCTTAGGTTAGGTTTTTTTGCATGTTTTTTTAAACTTCTTTGAGAAAGAATATGTTTATTCCTCTGACGAAAGTTGAATTTGTATCTCTAATACTACCACTATTACTCTTAACACTACTATTATGTATCATGTATCAGGCACTCACTATGCTCAAGAGCTGTGTTAGGCAATATTTATCCAATGAATTACAAAGAAGCCCAATTAAATATGACCAAGAGCCAATTATCCTATATAATAAAAGCCTAATATGCTAAGTGTCCAGTCGTCTGGTCGTCCATTCAACCAATCAAAGTGTAACATGCTAATGGTATGCTAAGGCTGCTCAACCACTAGCTATGATGTGCACTGACCACCAGGGGGCAGATGCTCTGACCGGTAGATTAGCTTGCTGCTAGGGTCCAGCAGATCATGACTGAGCAAGATGGGCCGGACACGCCCTAGAGCCCTCCTGCAGTCCCTCCCTGGCTGGCCAACCTCCCGCATCCCTCCTTGGCCCTGATGGTGCACTGGTGGGGTCCTTAGGCCTGGCCTGAACCCTCTCACAATCTGGGATCCCTTGGGGGATGTCGGAGAGCCAGTTTTGGCCCTATTCTGCAGGCAAGGCCAAGGGACCCCACTGGTGCATGAATTTGTGCACCATGCCTCTAGTATCTTATAAATATAAAGTAGATTTTTTAAACTAAAAAAATTACTAAAGTTCCTTTTCCATTTTTTATTTTTTTGAATAAACATAACAAAGAACCTGAAAGACCTATATACTGAAAATTACAAAAAATTATTACTATTATTTTGGGGGGGGTATAAAATCCTTTATTAGGACCTCAGAAAGATAAAAGGCATTTGCTAACAGTACCTTTCAGTCAGACAAATGGACTCCTACAGAACACTGAAAAGCTTAAGGGCATTGTCATCTCAGCAAAAGCCGAAGATAGAGGAAGACTTATCCTTAAGAGATGAGTGGCTATGGCTATTTTCTAATTGTGTAGACACCCAATAAAATTCACAGTGAATCCATAAAGTTTCTAAAAGAATTACATCAGCAGAAATGCTACCTATTTGAAAATTATAAAACATTATTAAAAGAGACTGAAAAAGACACAAAAAAATGGAAAATTATCCTGTGTTCATGGATTAGAAGAATCAACATAGTTAAAATGGCCATATTACCCAAAGCAATATACAGATTTAATGTAATCCTCATCAAAATTCAAATGTAATTTTAATTGAATGTATTGGGGTGAAATTAATGCATACAAGTTTCAAGTGTACAACTCAATAAAACATCATCTGCACACTGCATCATGTGCCCTTTGCCCCAAGCAAAATCTCTTTTTGTTTCCATTACCCCACTTTTGTCCACATCTATCTATTCCCCACCCCATTTCCCTCTGGCCATCACCACACTATTGCCTATGTCTATGTGTTATATGTATGTTTTTTTTCTTAATCCCTTTACCTTCTTCCCTCCAATCCCCAAGCCCCTTCCTTCTTGACTAAATTAAACAAATTGGTTGTTTGGGGTTCTATAGAAAGCAACAGTCTGATAAAAAAATCAGTGCACATGAAAGTAATCTTTACAAATTAAAACAGTACAATATATAGATGATGTATTATAGTCTTATGCACCTGAATCCTATAAAATTTTATTAACCAACTAGAGGCCTGGTGCATGAGATTCGTGCACTTGGAGGGGGGGTCCCTCGGCCTGGCCTGCACCTTCTCACAGTCCGGGACCCCTTGGGGGATGTCCCCCTCACAATCCATGGCTCTCACAGTCCAGAACCCCTAGCTCCTTACCGCCCGCCTGCAGCGGAGGCAGGGGAGATCCTGGCACCGCCACTGTGCTTGCCAGCTGTGGGCCCGGTTTCTGGCTGAGTGGCGCTCCCCCTGTGGGAGCGCACTGGCCACCTGCATCGAGTGTCTGCCCCCTGGTGGTCAGTGTGCGTCATAGCAACTGGTCATTCTGCCATTCGGTAGATTTGCATATTAGGCTTTTATTATATACGATGTCAACCAATAAATTTAATAAAATAAATAAGTATATGTTTAAATGCATTAGATTTTTTTCGTACATGAAAAAGAAGACTTCCATGGTACACTATATCAAGAGTTAAAGACAATTTTGCAGTTTAAAAAATATGAAGATGAAAATGAAAATGTTTAAATCAGTGTTGTCAGGTGACCTTTTATGGTTGCCTAGCATCTACTAAAATTAGGGATAATTATAAGGTCCACAAACATCTAAACTCTTCACTTATTTTTGTGTTTGAATTGAAAATATTTGTTATTGACTGAACTTAATCAAGTTTTTTTGTGTGTGTTACTGTTGTTTTTCTATTTTATGTACATGGGCTAATCTTTTATCAACAGGGTGGCAAATATATTTTATATCTAAACATTCAAAATTATTTTTATTTTTTTAAATATATTTTATTGATTTTTTACAGAGAGGAAGGGAGAGGGATAGAGAGTTAGAAATATCAATGAGAGAGAAACATCGATCAGCTGCCTCCTGCACGCCCCCTATTGGGGGTTTGCCCGCAACCAAGGTACATGCCCTTGACCAGAATCGAACCTGGGACCCTTCAGTCCACAGGCCGACGCTCTATCCACTGAGCCAAACCGGTTAGGGCTCAAAATTATTTTTAAAAATTTGTACCCTTTTTTCTTTGCAATTTGAGAGTATTCTGGACATCTTAAATAATTAAGTGCTTTTCAATTATCAGTTAATTATAATCTTTAGCTTTTTTTTTTTATTTGTGCACTTTGTGTTGACTTGGATCTTTTGAAACCATGCTGCCTTGATGCTATTAAACTGATAATATAAAAATATTTTATGCACTCTTCCAGACCAAATTAATATAGTAAATCCAGTGAAATATTTTGCCAAATGATTAGACTTCATCTCTTCACATTTCAATTGGTTGTTATGGTACTGTGTAAAACTCAACCTAACTGTAAAATTGATGATTTCTCAAGGTAATTGTAACCTTGAATTTATGTCCTAAAACAAAGAACTTTAATGAAGTAAAGACAAGAGGGATAAAATAATTCGTTGTTGCTTGTAAGTAAGCTCTTTTATATATTGTTAAATATCAGAGTAAATGAAGGTATACATTCTTCCATGAGAAAGCCTGCATTGTCTAATTATGATTATTATTTAGTCATGTAATGTCCTACCTGAGAACAAATACATTACAAATATTTTAAATGCTTGTGGTAATTAAGCTAATTGAAATGGCTTAGTATTGTTTTTAACATTTATTTTTCCAACTACAACAATAGAAAAAGTGGAGCTAAGTATGATGAAACTTTTAATTTAATTAAAATTATTTTAATGGAAGTTATTTTAACATGTGATAAATGTTCCTCATAAAACACAAAGTATTTATTTCCATATCTAACATATTTGTAATTAAGTCCACAAATGCACCACAGGCAGATCCTAAAGAATACGAATAGTAAGATGCTAAAGAATTTAGGTGAGATCTGGAGATCTCAAGAAGACAGAAGTCAATAAATTCACCATTACCACGTCTCTGCTCTTTATCTTCATGTCAGCTTCTCTCCCTTTTTGCCTCTTACCTCTTCATCAAGATAAATATATACCCACTTTCTTATAAACACACATTTTCTAACAGGTGTAGTATTTGGTATAAAAGCTTTGTCTCTAGTTATTTAATTAACATTTAAAAATAAATATTAATAAAATGTTTCTTACTTTGTGTGTCTGAACCAAAAGTTTTAAAATCCAGAGTGAGAGAAGGCACCCATGGGTAGGTCTCTAAAAGCCCTTCCAATACACCCCTGGAAAAAGAGATTCAAACTTCAGCAAGTCCAGAATGTTTTTCCTGAAAATAATTATTTATGTAAACTTGTGAGTTATTTTGTTATGATTTTGAGGGGTGAATATCTGAAATATCATTCTTTTTATAGCTAGACTTGTAAATAAAATCCTGAGTAAATATTCCTTGAATAAAAAACTCACAAAGCTAGAATAAGCAATATCTTAAAAGTGGATTGGGGAGAAAGTGGGAGGAAGCAAGATTTTGGAGACAAAAAATCTAGGTCCATTTCCTATCATCTAGTAGCTACAAAATTGAAGGCCTCGGAGTCTCTGATCCACACTTTTCTTATCTGTAATTGTGAAAAGGGCTATGTAAGTATTAGATATGATTGTTATATTGCTTACTTGTTTCTTCCAGGATCTCTAAATCCCTTAGCAAAAGGATTCCTGTCTATTTTCAGTTTGGTAATCTATGAATTCAAAAGAGAAAGAGAAAGTCAGTGCACTAGTAATAACACTGTCTCCATTGCTATTAATGGTTACAAAACCATAAAACACATTTTAACATGTACTTTGGCATGTTAAATAAATGCAAGCATATTTCTAAGTCAACTTTAGAACGGTTATTTTCTTTTTCTCCAGGCACATTGTTTTGCTCCTTTCTTAATCACAAGATCCCACACAATTCACAATCAAACTTGCCTTGGTAAAAATGCAATAAGACTATGTTGGATTTTTGTTTGTTTGTTTGTTTGTTTAAATCAAGGAAAATTCAGCCCATATAGTGCAACTTTCTTCTATTCTGCAAGTCCCTCTGGGACCACCACTGCTTGGCAGGGATCTAGTTAGCTTTACCTGCTGGTTTTGATAAGCTGTTACCGTGGTGAACTCCGTTTCTTCAAAGGAGAATGTCTTAACTCCTTCGGTGGGCAGGGACTGAATCCAGGACAGGTTGGCTCTGCTGTCCTGCTCCATCACGTGCACACGGGGCTTATACTTGTGCATGGATTGCAGAATGATCTAGAGGAGAAATGATCAAATGTTGCCTAGAAACTGGCTTCCCCTCCCCAATACTGTCCTCCTCTCATCAGCACCCCCAGTCTGCCTACACACAAAAGTAAAGCTAAACCAGAAAGGCCAGTCACACACAAGGATTTTTCGCTGCCATTTTGCTCCAGGCAGAGACTCTCAGGGCTAAGGGATTTCTGCACCAGGGCATCAGAGCCATCAGTGATTCCATTTCTAGGGGCTTTTCCCTACTTCCAAATGTGGGTAACCATGTGATGTACCCAAGTGTCACTGGGATCTGACTGCCTGCCATAAATTCCTTGGGCTAATGGTAACCGATGGGCAACCACCTGACATTCCCCACCTCTTACTTTCTGGAGATTGTCTATTTCCTTGTGTGGCTGGCACAGGGCCAGACTTGGAAGGGGAGAGGAAGGAGTGCACCTAAGAAGCTCAAGATGGAGGTGACTTGAAAAGGCCATCTATGCGGGTGGCTGGAAAGGAGACTTCCAACACATCATGCCACACCAAAGGGGCCCATCTACTAGAAGGCAATCAGAGCCCACAGCAATTGCCTGGTAGACTGAGGTTTCAGGGAGCTCTTTGAAACATTCCTTTCCACTCTCCCAGTACAGGTATCTAGGCTTAAACAAGTGTCATTTGATCCTCACTCTCCTTTAATTCACCATTCCCAACCTGCAGCACTCTGAGCCTCAGCCACCAAAGGCCATAGGAGCTACTTTCATTATAGGCTCTGAACTTGATCAGTTCTTAAAGACCACAATTAACTCACCTGGAAGAAGCCTCCTTGGCATATCCAGGACGACCTCTTCGCTGATGCCTTACCATCTCCCTCCCTTTCTCAGGACAAAGGATTGCACACTTACCTGGTCTTTGTCGTCCATTTCATTGTTGGTAAGTTTCACGCGATCAAAGCTGATGATCTGCCTCATCCAGGCCTCTCCTGAGCAGGGCGAGTCCGGGTGAACATAGAGTCTGGGAGTGATGCAGGAGTGGTCAGTATTCCCAGCTACCATCCACTGAGAGCTGTGGTACACATACCTGCAAAAGGAGAGAGAAATGTAACTTTAGCTGCAGCCAGCCAAATCTAGGGGCATGAGAAGAAGGCAGCCAAGATCTGATCCAAATGGCCTCAGCCAAGGTTTGCCAGCTAATCCCAAAGGAAACTAGTAGAAGTTCAAACTTGATTTCCAAAGATCATTCAGGGACAGAAAGCAAACTGTAAATAAGCATATGTCATAAAAACGCAATGCAGTGCCAGAACAAGTATAATGTCATGGGATTTCAGAGTCTGGTTTGTATTTCCTCTCAGAAATCACAACAGAAATTGATCTAACCCGTTTTATCTCACAGAGACGCCAGAAAAATCCTCATGCCTTGGGCCACAAGTGTCAGGGAAGAAGCAGAGGAAGTGAGGAAGGTGTCTGTCCAGTTCACCACCAGGAGTCATTGTGGAAGCACTTTTGCCAACAAGGCTTCATATCAGAATATCCCCATGAACTCTTCCCCATGCGGCCTCCGGGCTGATTTTCACAGTATTTCCAATTTCATCCCCTGGGTTGTGCACAGCATTTTCAAGACAGCCCAAATGCTAGAGGCTAACAGCTTGTTCTGTTATTCCCAGACATTTGCTCCTGCAGGCTCTTGAGCTGTGCTTTTCCCCTGACCTCCAAACCTAGCTGTCTCCTAGAAAGGCTAGACACCCACTTCAGTAGAAAGCTCACAGCTCTCAGCTCACAGCCAGAGTGCAGTGGCTCCTGCACAAACCCCATAGCTCCTGAGCCAAAGTGCTAGCAGGCCCACACTTCGGGCCTCTTGGTTTTGGATTAACTCGGACACTTTTAGATAGCACTAAGTAGAGTGCTTATAGCAAGAGGCAAGTTTTCTTGTACTCTCTGTGACCTGACCTCCTCCTCAGGAAAGAGGCTAAGAAAGAAAAGATGGACCTAAGTACAGTAACTGCTAGACTAGCATTGGATGGCAAACCAGGGCATTACTCCAGGACCTTCTGCCAAAGTAGCACAACCTAGAGCCCAGTATGGATGCAGAATCTCAGGCATTTCTTCCCAAACTTCCATCAAACAGCCATCTGAGTCCACACCTGCAGTTTGCACAGACAAGGCCAGAGCAATGGATAGACTAGAGGTTTGGGAAACACTGAAGCAGCAAATGGCACCTCTTTCTAGGAAGGAAAGGAAAAAGGAGGAATGACCTTTTCTCAGTCTGAACCCCGGTTTGAATAAGACAATTTGGTTTGATCAAGAAAATTTGACTCTCAAAACCCACAGGAAAACAATCCCACTTCCCTTACCTGTGGTAGAGTTTTAGAGTTTTCAAAATAGCACTCTCGGGTTCCAAAGACCAGACTCTCTATTCCCAGCCTGAGCCTGTAGTACTCGCCTTAGGGCCCAGTTACCTATAGCGTTTGGAATCCACAGGCACTACATCCATGATCACATAGTACTGCTTCCCTGGGTCCAGCCCTTTCACCTTGACCCGAACAGAGGGGAACATCCGCCTGTGGAAGAGAAATAGCAACTGACCTGGGTGCTTTTAGAGACATTTCAAGTGTGACAGGGTTGGGGTCAAATGAGGAGTGAAGGAATTCACAATACTCTTCCCATTCTAAGACAGGTTTAGGGAATGACATTTGCTACAAGAACAAAGACTGTTAGTTGTATACTTGATTGAGTAAGTTCAGGATTTCTGATTGGAGTAGAATATCCTTACCACAAGGCTTTGTCTACCCCACTCCCCACTACCACCATAAAAAAAGAAAAGCTATAGAAGAGAAAGTAAGAGAAATGCTATTCCCCTCTCTCAAGTTTTCAGTGGAACTTTTTTGTGAGGCAGATTTGAAAAAGACTGAAATTAGGAGGATTGACACACACAGAGTTGCCAAGCTGCCCCTAAAATATAGCCCCACGGCCCCAGGTAAAGTGGGAATGCTCCACCTCTAACAGGTCTGGGCTAGGGATGATGATTTGGGAAGCTGCTAGATGGGATATTTTCCTCTGAAAACTATGAGGCTTTAACAGAGTACCATGACCATAAGCTTAAGATGTGGGGTTGGAATCTGGCACCTAGCTTGGCAGGTCTAATTTTTGTCATATATCACATAAGAAGAATGAGTTTTGGGAGAAACAATGTACAGAAAAGAAATACGGAGCCATTAACCTGGGCCGGCACATCCTAATCTGGTCAATTGAGAAACAGTGGCTTTCTAATGCCTGTCGGGATGGGGACACGTGGGGTTGAGTGTTAGAGCATAAAGCTGGAGGCATCACATCTTATGAGAGCAGAACAATAAGGGACTACTGTGTGTGACCTTAAACAGCTTGGACAGAGCCGAACCTGCCGGCTTTGGTAATAATCATCTCAGTCCCAATGGCGTGGAATCTCTTCCACAGCTCAGATCCTTGAAGCTCCACTTGGATAGCATCTTTCTCTTCCAGAGTTTCACCCTTGTTGTGGTTGTCACCGCCACCGCAGCCTCCGCAGCCGCTGCAGCCCCCGCCTCCGCCTCCGCCTCCGCCCTCGCAGCCACAGTTGCCGCCGCCGCCGCCTCCTCCAGGGCCTCCGCAACCTGAGAAAGTTGCTGAGGACTCTGTCTTGGGTCGCTTTTCTGCTGGATACAGAGAAATCTAGAGTTTTCGAGAAAGCTTCCTGGTTCGCACGCCACCTTCTCGCTAATGCCTGTCTCGGAGCCGACCCGCCATCTCTTCCCCGGGGACCTTGGAGACTGATCCCCAAGTTCCCCACAACACCACTGTTGTCCCCTGATGGAGACAAATGGGTTCACGATGCGCTCTGTTAAAGGCATGGTCCTTCTTCAAATTTGCCCATCCTTACTCTCTCGGAGATTTTCGGTCCCTGCTTCCTACCCTGAGAAACAGCCACCTTGCGACTCTCGACTCTCGGGGTATCAGGGAGGTTGGAGAGTCTCACGTCTCCACAAACATGTGGGGACCCTCCCCTTCGCCGCAAATGAACCACAAAATTACAGGCTGAACTCGGAGGCTCTGAAACTTCCCCTACAGCCAAGTGGACGAAGTGTCCCCGCGGCCCAATATCGGCCATTCATCTGGGCCAGGACATCTACCTTTCTGCAGCGTCTTAGGCTAGCCTGGGACTTGCAGATCCAGCAAGCTCCAATAGCAGGGCTTGGGGTGAGGTAGGGGTACTTACTGGGCTGCTCGCTCTTCTTCCCTGTGGCGCCGCTCCTCTCTTCCTCCTTCCCGTCCTCTTTCTCCTGTAGCTCAGGCGGCGCCTCCTTTCTTGGATCTTGCCGTTTTCTTTTGCTGGTTCTCCCCACCAAGGCTTCTACTGAGAAGGCTTGCGCCCGAGAGCTCAGAGCCATCCCTGGAGGGGTAGAAGGGAATGTGCACCGCAAAGTTGCAACCTGAACTGGTTTAAGGAGGGAGAGGGAGGGAGAGAGAGCGCAGAGGACTGAAGAGAGAAAATAATCCCCAAATCAGAAAAAAACAATTTCTGGATCAATATTCAAAGAAAAAAAAAGTGTGTGTGTGTGTGTGTGTGTGTGTGTGTGTAATTTATATATATATTTCTTTCTTTGAAAAGGATGAAAAGGATGAAAGGAAAGGAAGATCCAACCGGAGCCAAAGTCCTTTGGAGTCTAGTCCCCCTTTCCTCTGCGGTCTCCTCCCTCCCAGTGGACATGTGCGGACCATCAGTTCTTAACTCCCTGATTTCAGGACATGGCAGAGTGCAGAGATTGGCAAACCAGGGCCTCTTAGGGAGCTGACCTGCCGCCAATGGTGGCTCAGGCAGCTCAGATTGGGAGGTGCTGTTGCATCCAATTGAGTGAATACCCAGCTGGTCGCAGCCTCCGCTGTTTGTTTGGGAAACTATTGGAAACACAAAAGAACACCTTGAGTGACTCTTCAGAGTCTGACAGGGAGCGGGGATGGACTGAGTTTGAGGGTTTGGCTGGAAAGGGGCTCAGGATAATGGAGACGTGGGATACACAAAGTTACTGCTTTACATTAAATTGTGAAATTCAAGAACATAGAAAATAATTGCCCACCAGGGGCCGGTTTTCCAACAAAAGTGCAAATGTTATTTAACTAAATCCAGAGGAGTGTATCAGTGTCTTCTATTCTCCAGTGAGTGCACTGAAGAAACATAGAGGAGCGCATGCTTTCTGGGGACATTCTTCTGAAGTTTGGGTCTCAAACTGGTGGGCAGCATGTTAGTCTGTTCTTTCTATCCAGGTGGGGAGGTAAGGGGCAGGTAGGAGGCTCCCAGATGTATATTGTCAATAATCATGCAATTTGAGTTCTTCAAGTAATGCCTGTACAGGAGCCCAGTATTCTCATCCATAGCCTCTTATTTTTCACATGACTTAATCAATAAACAACTTAAGAATTTCAGGGCTACCAGCAGAGCACCAATGGGAATTTTGCTTTCAAGGATGAGACACCTCAAAATGTTCCGTTCAAATAATTGATTCCAGCATTTCTTGGTATATCTTCCTGGGCTGGGTTTTACTTTTCTTTAAATTAAATAAAGCCATCTTTTTTTTTTTCAGGAAGAGAATTGTTTACCACTTCCAAGGAGCATGTTTAGGCATGCAGACCTAAGATTCTACCTGTATGTGTGGGATTTTGTCATCCACTTTTCATCAGAAATGAGAAACCAGGTTCCCCCGGACTCTTGCAGACTGCATCCTAGGTAATGACATTTGCACCTTTTCAGAAAGGTTCTCCTGTTCTACTCTGATACATGTGTTCAAAGGACATTTAAAGTGAATCCGACTTTAAAAATATAATGGATCTTGAATGAACTGATAGTATGTCAGTACTGGAGTTTCACAATAAAAAAAAACTTTTTGTGACATTTTTAGTTTCAGCTTCTTAGGCACAAGTGTGGCGATAATGTGGTGGTGGGGGGGAGGGCGGGAGGGGGAGACACATGCGGCTAGTCCATGTGAAGGAGATATTCAAGCAACCAGGTAAGTATCTGATAATCCCAGGTAGTATGGTAAAGGGTTAATTACAGCCTGAATACTTCTGAAGGGTTTGGTTCAATAATCAGTTATCCACTGCTCACCATGCAGGTCTGGGCAAGACACTACCTATACCAGTGGTTCCCAACCTGGTGCACATGCCTCACGAGGGGGGAGGGATTTGATTTTTAAGGGGGGGAGCAATTTAAGAATGAGTTATTAACAGTGAATTTTTTGCATTTCTTATGGTTCTAGGGGCCTCATATACAGTATATAAATATATGTTGACATATTTATGCATTTCAGTTCTCTATTTTATGTTTTGAAACTTTATTTGCTATTTTTTCATATCACTTCATATTATTATTTTTTAAACAATTTCTTAGTGATTTCTTCCTCAGGACTTCAACTGTCCTTTAGTTCTTTTATTTTTCTCTTTCACAGATGCCATGTTCTTTGGAAGCTTGTTTAGACTAAGTTAATGGTCTTTTAGGCTTCCTCCACATGAATAGGAGTTTATTTTTTGAATAATAAGTATTATATATCACAGATCGAGCATCAGGATTTTAGAGATGCTTAGGTGGGGCATGGCCAAATAAAGGTTGGGAACCACTGATGTATACCCTAGAGGTGCAGAGTGAAGCTCACTGTGCAAGACTAGTGTACAAGTCACTTGATCTGGGAAAGCCTACCTAGAATGAACCCCCAGGAAAGCATAGTCATGAAATGCAGAGTCAGTTTTCTTACAACATACTTTTTAGTACCTGAATTCAACTTTACTGAACTGGCTAAGTTGCTTGAACAATTAATTTTCTTTGTTTGTTTAAGTGAGTTTCAGCTGGGTTTCTATCACTTGCAACCTAAATAATCCTTGACAAATACACTCATCTTGATAAAAATTTGGAATATCACCTTCCTTTTCTTCTAGTTTTTCTTCTTCCTCCCCTCCTTCCACTCCTTCAACAGTACTGGTTCTATGATTAGGAAAATTATGTGCTGTAGACTATCCCAGAATCATAAAACCTGAAAGTAAACTACTTTCAACACAAATTCCTAGGATTATTATAAATAACAAAAAGTAGTAAAATTCAAGCAGTATATCATGTAGGTCAGACTTTGAATTCAGACTAATCTCATTCAAATTCTAAATTGCTACTTTCTAAGGGAATTTACACATCTTTTAAAAATTTATTTTTTTACATTCAGTTTTTCTACGCTTTTATGCTTTTACATCTACTATCTTCATTATAGGGTATGATTCTGTAAGTTTGTGTATGTATCTGGGGATTTAGGAAAAAATATATAAATGCCACTTAGCATAATGCCTAGAACAAAGTAAGCACTCACAGCTGTTTTTATCATTGAAGAGAAAGTGTAATTTCAAGAATGTGTTAATCTTTGACATTTTAAACATGACAAAATTTATTCTTTTTTATTAAAGTATAGTTGGAATACAATAATATATGAGTTTCACATGTACAACATAGTTATTCAATATTTATGTGCCATATGAAAGAATGTGCTGATCTTTATTTATATTAACTATACAGCTATAAACCCTTTGTGGACAAATACTAGAAGGGGAAGAAATTTCCCCAACTTTTGGTTAAATCCTAAAGCAAATTCAATAATTCAGAAGGCTTTATAGTAATCATGTTTCTTAAATTTGAGATCTATTTTAATAGATAGAAGTAGTGAATTAAATAAAAATATTGCATTTGAGTTTCAAAAGCCCATGAGAAATAGATCTGATAGAATATATATTCTGATTTTATCATCTTGATATTTGGAAATATATTTTTGGTATTTACCAATGTAATAATTGGTCTTGTTCTTATAGTAAGTAGATAAAATAAAGACCTCTAACATACAGCTTTGTTCTCACCCCAGGAAATTAAGAGAACTGGACTGATTAATATTAAAAGTAATTCTATGATACATGATCTGTATATTGCATTGTGTACCCACCACGCTAAATCAAATCATCTTCTGTCACCATATATTTGACCAATGTCTAGCTGTTTTTTACTTTATTTTTATTGTTGACACTATTACAGAAACCTGTGTAATCTTATTAACCAATATCACCACAATAAATTCAATAAGAAATACAAATAAACAAAAACCTTGAAAAATATTAAAAGTAATTCTCACACTGAATCCCTCAACTTTGGTTAGCTTAATTTAATATAATCACTCAAAAATTCTGTGCTTCAATTGAGTTATGCATGTCAAATTTTGTAATTCTTGTTCCTAAGTAGAGTTGGGGAAGAAAGAATAGGGAGACAAATTAATGTCTATGCTCATTGTGTTCTTTTCATGGGGCAATTGGGTAGTTAAATGTTTATGCTTGCCAAACCATTAGCTGAAGGAAAATTTATTCCTTTGAATTTAATCATGTGTTGATACTGCTCTCAAATGATAAAGGCCTTCCTATGCTAATAATTATATTACTCTTGGGCTCATTATATTTCACATTCTTACTGAAGTATATCAAAGGCATGCAATTATTTTTCTCATTTTTTTCTATTCAATTCATAATTTATGGCTGGCAGATTTTTTAAAATGTTTGGATCTAGGACCTTTGCCCCTAGAATTGTGAGGACTATTTTGTCTTTGACTAATTTTGGGCAGAGTTAACAAATTAAAAAATGCTAATAAGTAATAAAAAGAACTAGTCCAGATATGAACTGAGTAATTCCCAAAATAGGCACTGTTTTTGCATATTCACTTTTCAGCTGTCTTTGACTACCTGGCACAGTGACAGTAATTAATAATTGTAAATGTATCCTGCATCTTTTCAGCCTCAAACACTCCCCATTGAAATAATGAGCTTGAGTAAAATCTAGTCTTTATTTATATGACCTCTCTGGTGCTCCACTGAATTTGTATAGTCATATATGAACTGAAGGCTCAATCAGGATTACTAAGAAGTAAAAATTTTGTAATGGGATGCATTTGTGGTGTGTGGAAATTTAATGTTGCTCCATTCTAACTTGGATTTTATACTTTATATATTTCCTATATTTTCCCCACACTCAATCTTCCCTTTCTTTGTATTATCTTTCATATGGCTTTAAAAAAATGAGGATAAGAGCCAGAATTACTGTCAAATATGCATTATGGATCAGCTCCAAAGAAAGTGGCTAGTATTTGAGAAATGGCTACAAGTATAAGCTTGATAGTTTTAAATAAATAATCCTGACAATTAGCAAAACATCACCAGCACAGGTCACTTAAAACAAGGATATACCAAGTTCATTACCTCAGTGAATTATGGAAAATATAGTATTTAACAATAATCATTGTATTTCTCTGAAACCAGGTAAAGGCTTGTTTTACACCCTTCCCTGACACTCTCTCACCAAATTACTCTGCATGGAATCAATACA